ACCTCTTCATGAAATTTTGCAAATTCGTCAATCCACCAATTTGCTGTATTATCATCTAAAAAATCAGGGAAAGCCGTATAATCGCTCGGAAACAAGACGCCAAGCATTATTTTCGTGTCATTGACCAGTGCATAACGTTCCTGCAAATAAATGATAGCTTATTCTTAGTCGCCGCTGTTATGTTTACGCACTTGAGCGGAACGCATCACTTGGTCCTTCCTTTCCCATTCAACAAATCGAGCTCCCTTAAAATCATATTTTACTAGAATGTCTGAGCATTTATATAACTGCTAACCGCTTTCATTGCTCTTTCGAAAGGCGTATAGTTAACTGCTATAGCGTGATCAAATATGAATACACTTCGCATTCCCCTGCTGCGCAACGTCCTAATGTATGCCGGCAAATTCTTGAAGTTCTAAATAAACTGGCTATTACTTGCAGAATCGCTTACAAAAATAAAGTTCAAGCAGATTTTCACATCTCCAATGGTGAAATCTCTCCACGAGTCCATGTAATCGATGTCACAAACAACTGTATCGAATGGTATTCCAGCAGCGATATTCCTTTCAATTGTTGCGTTTAGTTCGCCAAAATGTTTATACCCGTAACGACTGATCTAAATAAGAGGGAGCATAACCCATGAAAGTCGTTGAACTTGAATATTCTTGAGAATATGTTTTTCCTACTTGGAATCCGAGCGCCCAGTAAGCGGGCAAGAAAGGTTTTCCAATCAGTTCTAGGTACTGCTGTGTAACTTCTTCCGGTGTCGGCCCGGGGAAGAAGTAAAGATCAAGATTTCCCCCTATTGTGCGGTAAATAAGAGTCGGTCCTGGTGCTGTTGTCACCTCCTTTAAATCAAAATTTGTGCCTTGGAGTGACACACATCAAGAGTTACTACCTGCGCGTTGGTATTCAATACGAACACTCCATGAGCATTACCATCCGGTTCGATCACCATATAGAAAGGATGCACACCCAAAATTTATTGCAATATTGTCTTCTCATGATGGTCTCTCATCTGCCTACAAATCCCTACAAACCATAAAAATTTTTGGTGGAGGCTTCAGTCGCATTTGTCCATTGGTCTCTGGCAAACATGGCCCATGTTGTGTAACGTGAGAAATCATGCT